GAGAAGGCGGCCGTCTGCAAACCACCAGACCCCACAGGCTGGCACCCTGGACTGAGGGGTGAGTGCCCATTGTGTGGCCGCTGGTCTGGGTGTCCGGCACGATGCCCGCTCGGCCCCCACTCTCTGCCCCGCACGCCCGGCCACTGGACTCACTGAGGAGAAGCAGGGTCTTGGTGGCCTGGCCCGCCCGGCGGCCCAGGCGCAGGTAGACCACGCTGTCCTTGTAGTCAGAGATCAGAACGTGGAAGCCCGCCACCCTCTTCACTGGACGGGAAGAGAAGCACAGAGTCGCCTGCTCGCGCCTGGACGGTGGGCCCCGACCCCCTGACCCCTTCCACCTGCCCAGCGGGGGTGTCTGGAAGGGCCGCAGAGTCCCCTCCACCCAGGCCCCTGGGCACACACCTGCCACGTTGGATCTGGGCCACGGTGGCCTGACCGCGTGTCCTGGGCGTTCATCCCCACCGGCCCATGTTCTCAGAGGAGGACAACTGGGGCCAGTGCAGTCGGTAGCCCAAGCCTGGGTCCCGGTGGCCAGGAAGCCCTGGACACCCCTCCCCCTGCTCTCCCGAGGGCCCAGCGGTTACGCACAGGTGTTCCTGAACACAGCCCTCTTCCTGTCTTTCCGCAGGATCAGCGAGTGTGCCTTGCACCCCTGTGACCTGGGGGGAGGTGGGCTGTGAGCCCCTTCTGGGCTCTGCTGCCCTGGGACTTTCCAGCGTGGACCCGGGCCGGTCCCACAGCTCAGGGGAAACACTCCAAACGCCCTCTGCCCGCTGAGCCCCTGGTGGACTGTGGGAGCCTCTCCCAAAAGCAGCCGTTTGAGTTTTAGGGGCAGAAAGTGATGGGTATTGGGGTTTCGGAGACAGTCCTTGTGGGATTTCCAGACTGACGCTCGGGCCTGGTCCCCGCCCCCACCCCCCGGCTCCCTTTCCCCTCCCTGGGCTCAGGGGTCTGCAGAGGATGTGCTGGGACCCCTGCCCTGGTCCACTCACCAGTTAAAGACGAGGACCACCCGCAGCTGGCCCATTTTGTGAACCTTCACTAAAGACGCCCCCAGCTTCCTCTTGTCTCTGGCCGGCAACCACCCCTGGGTGTCAGAGGCGATGGCAACAATGTACCAGAACCCTGAAAACTGTAGAGAGGGTGCTGGGGGCACGGGGTCTGGGCTGCCACACGGGTTCGGCCCCCACCCCAGTCCCAGAGAACCCACAGGACAGGTGACCCTAGCCTGAGGCCCAGGGCACGTCCAGCACCCACAGGATGGCACGGCCCTGCCTCGGGGCCCCCGCTGCCGCCCCAGGCTGAGGACGCAGATGCCCGGCTGCTCTAGGGCCCGAGGCGGCACCAGGCAGGGCCCTGGGCACCGGGTGTCAGAGCTTCCTGCCCACGTGGGCCTCGTGGGGGCCCCTTCCCTCCCAGCTGGCCCCCGCACCCCGTCCCACTGCTCTCCTTGCAGCAGAGCCCCTCCCAGATGCCCCCGTCTCCTCAACCTGTGCCCATGGCCGCCCCCACAGGAAACTTCCACCCAGCCAGAGGCCTCATTATTCCAGGACGTGTCCTCCTCGTGCTGCCTCCCCTCTGCCCACCTGGCACCTCCGGGCCACCTCAGGCTGTGCCTGTCTGGGGGCCTCTGCTACGGCCCCTCCTCGGGGCTCCTGGCATGTGGCCCACGGCCGTCAGCTGAGTTTTGAAGCCCCAGCCTGTCCCCAAAAGAGGCCGTCGGCTGCCCCACGGGGCCAACAGAAGCCTGTGCCAGAGCCCTCTGAAAGCCCGTCCAGCGGATTCCGGTGGCTCTGCGAAGATTTCCAGGGACCCCTCTTCCTGCTGCCCCTGCCCACCCTGGCCCCGGCGCCCGGCCGGTGGGCTGGGGGCACGAGACTCACCTTGCCCCAGTTGAGGTTGTGGGGCTCCCTGGGGAGCTGCTTCTGCGCCGGGGACCCCCCAGGCAGCTCCAGCATCAGGCCCAGCATGGGCAACAGCCAGCCTGGCCCCATCCTGGCCCTCCTCCCAGCTGCCCGCTGGACACCACGCTTAAATGTCCCCGCCCACCAGCCCTGCGTGGGTGTCCGGCCAGCCTGCAGCCGCGAGCCAGCCTGGTGGGCCAATGGCGGGGAGGGAGCTTGGGGCCCTCCCTCCCCGCACGGAGGGCCAGCCCTACCCTTGGCCCTCGGAGCGGCACAGCTGCTGTCCTGGGATGCCCCAAAGATGGAGACCATGATGTTCCCCAGGTCACCTCCTGGGCCTCCGGTCACCATATGTCCCCTAGAGCCATTGCACCTGGCAGGGAGGCTCCTGGGCCTCCTGTCCTAGCCCCCCGGGGAGAGAGGCAAAGGTTGGAACGAGTCATTGAGTCACTTCACAGGGACGAAAGTGAAGAACGTGAAGACGGGGCTCAGATGGTGCCAGCGCTGACGCGGGGGCTGCCTTCTCGATGCCCTTAGAAGGTACTGACGTGTTTGCATATGTGCACATGCGTTTGTGTGAAGAGGGTGGCAGCCTGTGTGCACCTGACCTCACCTCAAGTGAGAGGCAGTCCCCACCCTGCTCCCAGCCCACCTCCCCTGACGGCTTGTGCTCTGCCAGGACTTCAGGACACAGGAGGACCGACAGGCTCGAGCCCTCTGGGGTCCCTGCCCCCACCCCCCATCCAAGAGCTCCAGCCAGGAAAATCCAATCTTTCACACCCTGGGCATCCCAGCCCAGCGCCCTGCCCACTCTTCATCCAGATCACAGGGTCGTCCTCCAAATTGAGCGGACCAGCCTCCTGCCTGCCCCGGGCGCCGTGAGCCCTGTGGAAGGAGCAGCCGCCTGCAGCCCAGCTCCCACCTCCGGGCCAGAGGGCCGCTGGGGAGGGACGGGGCTGCAGGCCCGCACTCTCGTGCCCAGGCTGGCTCTGTGCTCTGTGCTCAGCCCTTGACAAGCCCACCCCGCCCATCCGCCTCTCCCTGCAGCCACCCAGCCCCGAGGAGGCAGCTCCCTGTCGGCTCTTCTGTCTGCTCTCAGCCCAGGGCCCTGCTTGGACACAGGCGAGAGGCATAGCACAGGTTTGTGGAACCGCTTTATTGCAATCTGCGTCGAGAGCCCCTGGGAGCAGCCGGCCCAAAGCCCAGCACCTGGGAGGCTGAGCAGGGAGGGTAGCATCTGGCCAGCCTCCTCCAGTCCCCTGGGGGCTGCAGCATTCACTGAAAACCATGAGGAACATTGGGGGACCCTGGGCTCGCCCGGAGAGGCATCAGCTCCCCCAAGCCCCCAGCCCTGCATGGCGGTGGTAGAGCCACTGGGATGGAGGGGCCCCCAGGGCCCCCAGACTCCACCCACCACACAGGAGCTCAGGGACGCTCGGGAAGGCCGCTTACCTGGAAGACCTTGCGTGCACAGGTGACTGGGGGAGGAAAGCGAGACGGCAGTGAGGACGGGGCAGGTCTCCCTGCCCAGCCGGGCGCCTGAGACAGACCATGGCCACAGAGCACCCGGGGCCCTGCCGGCCCCTGCACACAGCCGCCCCCGCACCCCCCGTCCCCACAGGTCTGACTTTGGGCGGGGACTAGGTGACTCCTTGAAGACCCCCGAGCCCTGCCAGCCCTGAGGCCTGGAGGGTCCCCGAGCGTAGCGGAAGCCAGCAAATGGCCCCACGGTCCGTGCCCCTCAGCACACGGTGGCGTCAGGCTCGGTGACACTCACGGTCCTTCTGCAGCGTGGCCCGCTGCTGGGACGAGAAGCCCAGGCCCTTGCTCCACTTGGTGAAGAGGCCCATGGCCTCCTGGCTGGCCAGCTCCGTCCGGCCTGCAGGGGAGGTGCCCCCTGAGAGCCGGGCTGGGGGACGGGGGCGAGCAGGGGGTCCGCAGCAGGAACCAGACAGACACTTGGGACCCTGCGCTCTTCTGACCCCAAGGCCCTTTACCACGTGCAGCTCCCACCCCGTCCCTCCCTCCAGGCAGGGTCACGTCTCCCACAGAGGACAAGTGCAGGGAGGGGGCGACAGGGAAGGAAGGCTCGGGGCCCCGGTGGGGATTTCATGCAGGGATGAGTGATGGAGCGGAGCGGCCGCCAGCCCGCTGGGCTCTTTCAAGGCTGGGACCCCGGGAGGACGGAGGCCCAGCACGGCAGGGAGGCCTCCGCGCCCGCGGCCGCACTCACTGTACAGCTCCACGGTGCTGAAGGCCTCGTCCTGGAGCTCCAGCTGCGTGAGCACTATGGCATAGTCCCTGAAGTTGGTGGCCAGCACCCGGTACTCCAGCACACCCAGGGCTAGGAGACAGGTGCCGCCGGGGTGGGGTCAGACCTCGTGGGGGGCCCCCCAGCTGGCCGAGAGCCTCCCAGCTCTGTCCCCCTGGTCCCTGACCCCCACCCGGCTCCGGCACACAGAGGCTTGTGGTGGCTGATGGACAGCAGGTGAGTCCCAGCTCATCCTGGGGCGCCCTCCCGTGATCCTGTCCCCACGGGGTAAGAGTGCCAGCTGCCCCGCCCCCACACAGTACAGCGAGAGGCCTGGGGTCCCAGCTGAGCCCGCCTGACACAGTCGAGTCCTCTGTCCTCAGGACTGGCGCCAAACCTCTGACAAAATGAGGACCTTTCACTTCCCGGGGGAGAACGCCACTGAAGCCTGGGGTGGAGTCGCCCCCTCCCCTTCCCCTCCTGCGTGCTGACCCTGCCTGCAGGCGCAGAGGGCCCAGGGCTGCCAGGGGCAGGACCCGGCCCCAATCACGGTCAGGGAAATGGAGCCTGCCCGGAATCCGGACCACCGTGGCCGGCATCCTTACAGGGATTCCCGAACACCCATCTGGAATTTTGTTTCATCAGTTCCACAGCATGCAGGTGGCATCTCTCCAGCCTGGAAAAGAAAAGGATCTGTCATCACCCAGGGTCCGTATGCAGGACGAGAGAAGACAGGTTTGGCCACCCAGACCCGGCCAGGGGCCAGCGTGGCTGCAGAGGGGATCCCGCCTCCCCCTCGGTGGCCCAAGTTAGCCAGAAACCCTGCTCTTGACCAAAGCGAACCTGTCAGGGAAATGGGCCAGCTCGGCACCTGCAGAATGCGAATCTGCTCCGTCACCTCGCCAGAGACCCGCGCTGCCAGAACCACACGGAGAAAACTTAGAAGTTTTTTATCACTGCTGAGGGCACCAAAGGAGCATGAGACAAACAGGGCGTCTGCAGTTGTGTTTTGTTGTCGTTGTTGTTAATTAATTAATTTATTTATTTTTAAAATTTTTGGCTGCACTGGGTCTTTGTTGCTGCGCACGGACTTTCTCTAGTTGCGTCAAGTGGGGGCTACTCTTTGTTGTGGCGCGCAGGCTTCTCACTGCGGTGGCTTCTCTTGTTGCCGAGCACGGGCTCTAGGCGTCATTCCCGGACCAGGACTCGAACCTGTGTCCCCTGCATTGGCAGGTGGATTCTTAACCACTGCGCCACCAGGGAAGCCCCAGGTCTGCAGTTCTGGATAAAGAGACTCAACACCAAAAGGGGCCAAATTCCCTAAGCCGCCAGTCCGCAAAATGAGCAGACCCACTTCTGTAAGTGCAGCAAGACCAGCTCCCCCGCCAGTTCCGTGCAAGACACAGGAATAGCAAGGAAAAGCCTAAAAGGAAGTGTAACCAGCAAAAACAAGCCGGTAAACTGACAAGGCATTGTGGGGCCCCAAGAGGGAAAACAATGAGACTTGGCACAGAAATAGACAAATCAAAGGAACAGAAGAGAAAGCCCGAAAATGAAGCAAAAAGCAGAGGAGGTTCGCTCGAGACAAGGTAGCATCTCAGTCAGTGGAGGAAGAGGAACCACTGGGTGAGTGGAGCTGGGCGACTGGGCCCTTCAGCGATGGTCGCAGCTTGTGCATCCCCAGGCTCAGCCCCGAGCAGGTCAGAGGTCAGAGGCCCTCTTAGCTCCAGGGAGACAGAAAGGCTTCTGAACACAAAACCCAGAAGCCCTGAGAGAAGCCAGGTGTTTACACCTGCACTAAAACTAAAAGAGCCCTTCCTATCAACAGCTCCTCGGTGGTATAAGAAAAATGACAAAATGGGAAATATATTTGCATCTAACTTTATCACAGACAGTGGCTAAAAATCCCTAATACTTAAGCGTTCTTGCAAGTCAATAATAACCCGCCCGAGGGAAAAGTATGCAAAAGATATGAACAGACGCTGGGCTGGGAAGGAAACACAGAAGGAACAGGTACCGAGACGTCTCACTCCCTCGTGATCAGAGAAAGAAGCAAAAACTAACATGGGGAAGTTTGTCGCCTATAAAGACAAAAGAGAATAAAATTTTAAATGTTTCAAAAGAGGGCAGATTCCCTGGTGGCGCAGTGGTTAAGAATCTGCCTGCCAATGCAGAGGACACGGGTTTGAGCCCTGATCCGGGAAGATCCCACATGCCGCGGAGCAACTAAGCCCGTGAGCCACAACTATGGAGCCTGCGAACCACAAGTACTGAAGCCTGCGCGCCTGGAGCCTATGCTCTGCAACTAGAGAAGCCACCACAATGAGAAGCCCGTGCACTGCAACGAAGACCCAACGCAGCCAAAAATAAAATAAGTGAAATAAATAAATTTATTTTTTAAAAAAAGAGGGTAGAGACCCCAGGGACTGACACGGAACGGTTTGGCCCTCGTGTTTAAATGACACGCGTGTGCTTGTGTGTGCCTGAACGTCCCTGAGGAGCTGCAGCAGATCAAAACCGTGGGCCACCTGTGGGGAGGGGGCCACTGGCTGAGGTGGGGGGGGGGAAAGACCCCTGCTTTCCACCCCTGGGGATTCTGATTTTTCTTTTGGCTGTGCCACGCGGCTTACAAAATCTTAGTTCCCCAACCAGGGATCGAACCCATGCCCTCAGCAGTGAAAGCGCTGAGTGCCAACCACTGGACCTCCAGGGAATTCCCGGGGCACTCTGATTTTTTGAAACACGCAAATGTGTTTCCTATTCAAAATCCGGCAAATGAAGTTCACATTACATAACAAAATGAAACGGCTGCTTGCCTGTCCTGTAAGCCCTAGTCTGACTGTGAGTCCTGCAGACGGGCTGGCCGAGGTCCTCAGACAGAGGCACCTTGACAGGGCTCAGAGCAAGGCCACTCACCAGCCCCAACCGCAAGCAGGTTCCAGCAAGAGTGTCGGAGACCCCCCTCCCCTGCGATTGCCGTGGTCCTCTCCCCGTCCACGGCTGTTCCACAGGGCCCAGGGCTCTCCAGAGGCCAGGTTTCCATATGCAGATTGTTTTCCCACCAGCCTCATCAGGACTCACCGAGCCATGTGGCTTTGGGGCTGCCACCCACGCCACATGTGACCCCATGTTCACCCAACTCAGAGGGGCCCCCGCCCCAGCACAGACCCCCTCGGTCCTTGCGCATCCTCGGCCTGGCTGGCCCAGGTGGACGGCAGCCCCGCCATCTCCTGAAGGCAGTGAGCGTGCCTCAGGGAGCAGGGGAGAAAGTTCCCCTCTCAGGCCGGGGTCTGCGTGGCTGTTCAGGCCGCGCGATGGCTCCAGATTCAGGGTGGAAATGCCCGTGGTGCACCACCAGCTGGTGACTGCCTGGCCTTCCCCACGTGAAAGATGGGGACGCTAGAACGACACCTCCCCCAGCACGCCATGCCCCCCGCCCCCTGCCTGGCTCCCCCCAGGTGTCCCAGGCAGCAAGGTCCCCCAGAAGCATGACCCCTCCTTCCAGCATCCCTTGCCCCAAGGTGTGCGTGGGGTCTGCTCCACTGGCCAAAATCGGCCAAGGCTCAGCCTGACACCACAAGTCCTGTCTGATAAATGACCTCAGTGACCACGTCTTCTGACACCACAAGTCCTGTCTGATAAATGGCCTCAGTGACCACGTCTTCTGGGGGATTCATTTTCCGAGAGAACCAGGGGCTCCAAGCCACAGATGCACGGACCCACCTTAAGTAGCAGCTCAGGAGGGCCTTAAGCAAAGAAGAGGCCTCTCCCGCTGACCAGAGACCCTGCCAAGCTACCCAAGGGCCTGGAACAGCAGGGGGGGAGGTCAGAAGCTGTGCCCCGGTGGAGAAGGCGTGAGTCCCACCCAGGGGCGCCCCAGCCAGGAGTCCAGGGATGCAGAGCCCAGACGCCAGGCAGAGGGTGGCTCTCAGAGCAGAGCCCAGCGCGGAGGGGGAGGGAGGGGAGGGAGGGGAGGGCGGGGCCCGCCGTCCAGACCCCAGCCCCACGCACCGGTTCCGGGAGGACAGCATCTTCAGAGTGTTCTCTGGCGTGAGGGTCAGCATGACCCCCTCGATGTTCTTCGTGGCCTTGTCCACCACAAAGTCCTTCTCCCCCGAGGCCACAGCGAGAATGTACCAGGACCCCAGGAGCTGATGGAGGAGGAACGGGTGAGGGGGCCTGTCCCTCCAGCCCCGGCCCATCCTCTTGATCTGGGGGCCCTGACGCAGGCTAGCCCATCCACCCACAGCCCCCGTGGTCTGGGCTGGCACTGGGGGAGCCCAGAGGCCGTGCGGCCCCAAGGCATGTGCTGGCACAAGAGGGCTGTCACCTGCCGAGGGTCCAACCTCCCCAGCCATGCGGCCCGGGCCCTGGGCACCAAGACCAAAGCCAGAAGGGCGGCCAGCAGCACAGCCCTCATCCTCGCAGAGGTCTGCACACCAGCACACCTGCGCGGGGGTGAGCGAGCCCTCCAGCCCCCGGAAGCCTCTTTAAAAGGCTCAGAATGCACTGCTGTGGGCGGCCGCTAACCGCCGGGGCACCATCCTGGCCTCTCTTCTCGCGAGGTGGCAAAAGTACTGGGGCGGTGGGGCGGGGTGGGGGGAGGCGGGGGAATTAATCCTCCAGACGTGCCGGAGAGTGGGCTGTGGGCCCTGGGGAGCGTGTGCGAAGCCCCTCCTATGTAGACACATTCGTGCCATCCCCGTTTCTCTCACTTGGAAGGTTCCAGAAGGAGCATCCAGCCCTCAGCCGCACCATCCCCTCCCCTCCCCTCCCCTCCTCTCCGGGGAGCCAACAGTCTCTGGCTCAGTCTGGGCAGGCCAGGGACTCTGCCCTTGAACCCAGGCCAAGGTCATGTCTGAGGAGAGCGTCAAGAACAAGTAGCCCCTACAGAAGCTGCAGCTGTGCATATCTTTTGTTTCCATCCTTAAAAGTATGAAAAGTCCCCGCGCAGCTTTTTGGAAAGCTCCCACCTCCTCCCGGCCCAGCAACCCTCCTGCTCTGCGGGCTGCGGGCTCCTGCCCCATCACGGCAACACCCAGCGGAACGCCCTGTTCCTTCCGCCCGCCGCTCCTCGCCCGTCTGGACCTGCCCACTCTCTGGCAGCCTCACCCTGCTGCCTCCTACCCCTGCTCACCATGACCCTGGCCAGGCCCCCAAGGCCGCATGGGAGCTCTCCCTGGGCCTGGGCTGCCCGCCCTGGGTCATCGGAGACCCTGCCTGGGAGTGAAGGGCAGGGGGCTCGGCAGGATCTGTCTGAGCCCCTGAAACCCAGGCGGAAGTAACTGGGAAGATGCCTCGCCGGGGTGGGGGATCCTGCACACCACAGCTCCCAGACCCCTCTGCTGGTTGGCTTCCAGGGGTGCTGTGGACACAGAACAGGCAGGGTTTGGAAGGTGAGGACAGATGAAGCCATCTGTCCTGCCGGGCCTTCCCAGGAGGGACCTCGGCCAAGCCAGCACCCCAGCCCTGCTTGGGAGATGAGCCCTGCAGGAAAGGGGATGAAAGTAAGCCCGCCGCACGCAGACTTGCAGCTAAGCCTTGCCCTGCCTCAGGGCCCAGAGAGCCTCAAGCCTGAGCTTGGATGGGGGTGGTTCCTGACCACAGGCCTCCCAGATGCCTGACGGAAGAAAATGACAATAAAAGACAAAAACATCACCCCGACCTTGACATTAACCTCGTTAGTTATTTTTTCAAGTTCAGTTTCCTAAAAAAACACTTGGGAGACGAAGGCAATGTGAGTGAGAAGCAGCAGGAAAAACAGACGCCAGAAGCAGACCCATGGGTGATGCTTCCTACGCGGGAATTAAAGGCAGGCTGTTTAGTCCGTTGGGGCTGAAACACAGAAAACCACAGGCCGGCGGCTTGTAAACAACAGACATTTATTTCTCATAGTTCTAACTTTTTTTTTTTTTTTTTTGCGGTACGCGGGCCTCTCACTGTTGTGGCCTCTCCCGTTGCAGAGCACAGGCTCCAGACGCGCAGGCTCAGCAGCCATGGCTCACGCACCCAGCCGCTCCGCGGCATGTGGGATCTTCCCAGACCGGGGCACGAACCCGTGTCCCCAGCATCGGCAGGCGGACTCCCAACCACTGCGCCACCAGGGAAGCCCTATAATTGTACTCTTGATAACAGAGAGTAAAACATGCACAAAATTGATTGGTCACAGAGAAAGCATCGATGAGTTCCACAAAGTAGAAATATTACAAACAACGTTCTCTGACCAAAATACAATAAAACTGGGACTTCCCTGGCAGTCCCGGGGTTAAGACTCTGTGCTTCCAATGCAGGGCATGTGGGTTCGATCCCTGGTCAGGGAACTAAGATCCCACATGCCGTGCAGCGCGGCCACAAAAACCCCCAAAACAAAACAAAATACAATAAAACTAGATTTTTTTTAACTTTCTATTTTAAAAAATACTATTGGATGAAAGGAAAAATACCAACTGAAATTACAGAATTTATTTAAAATAAATATCATAAAAACACCATGTAATTCAGGGTCAGAAGAAACATCATAACCTTAAACACACCATTAAAAATAAAAGAATGAAACTAAATGCATTAAATTCGCAACTCTAAGAGCTAGACAAAGAACAAAATAAACCGTAGGATGTCACGAGGAAGGAAATAATAATGATAAAAGCGGGAAATGATAGAGTATAGAGAACAGCAGATGTAATTAATGAACCAAAGTCCTCATCCTTGGAAAAATGAACAGAATTTTTCTGTTAATTTGCAGAATTATTAACAAAATCATTAGTATTCTTTTTAAAAATAACAGAATTAACTAACATGAATAAGAAGAGATGGAGAGACCATAAATACATGAAGTAAGAAGTGACAAAAGGGTGGGAAATGACCTTTGGGACGGAAGAAAAAAATGTTTCATCAACAGAAAGTACTTTGCTGACCTCTAAGCAAATCACTTTGAAGTCCTCAATGAGATGGATAATTTTACAGGAAAATTCAGTTTGCCGAAATTTACCCTATTAGACAAAGTCCCCTCAGGCCAGGACTCGGGTGGGGCTCAGACCAGGGAAAAGGTTTACCTCCCGGTAGGACGGGACAGCGTGAGGGGCTGCAGGACAGGTGCCCGGACCGCACTCTCAGCCCAGGACAGACAGCTGACGGCCTCGACCCTCAGGCAGCCCCTCACGGCTCGGCCCACTGTCTGGACCTCTGCTCTGTCTGCCCCAGACAGTCCCACCGCCCCTCGGACCCCAGACTCCTCTTCCAGGTGTGACGGGAAGGCCTGGTGGACGGAGCCCCAGCCTCAGAGTGGGGGCAGGAACTCACCACCTGGGGCAGCAAGTTCACGCAGGTCACTGTGGAGAAGAGAAGACGGTGACGCGGGGAGATGGGTGCCAGGAGCGAGGCCTGCCCCGGGGGCCCGGACGCTTACAGTCCTTGGAGAGCAGCTGCACATCCACTGCTGACAGCCCGTGCTCCATGGCCTTTACGAGGAACCTGTCCGTGGCTTTTTCGTCGTGTTCCACCATCCGGCCTGCGAGGAAGGGTTGCCGCTGGCTGGGGGGAGCACAGGCGGAGACTGGAGCCACAGACACACTCCCTGCCCTGTCCTGTGCCCCTTTCTGCCCTACCCCATCCCCCTCCCTGTCCTGTCCCTTTCCCTGCCTGTCCTGCCCATCCCATCCACCTCCTAGCCCTCTCCTGCCCCCTCTCTGGGCTGGGACAGGGCAGAGGTACAGTAGAGACTCCCCCGTGGGCTCACTATAAAGTTTCAGGACACTGTGGGCCTTCCCTCCTTTGTGGAAGACAGTGTTCATGATGCTGTATGTCTCGTAGTCCGAGGCCACCACAGTGACCTCTTTGCCTCCTGGGAAATGAACCAAACACAGGCCTCCCAGGCTCTGGGTGGGGACCTCCCACGGGCCACGCCCCTGGGCCCACCCTCACCTCATAAAGGACACACACACGGTGGGCAGGGAACCCCGCTGACCAGGACAGGAAGACGTCTTATCGACACTGTCAAGGATTTCAGAGAAGTCCTGGCAGCTGAGGCCAGAGCCTGGGGGCTGGAGACAGTGGCTGGGGGGCTTCCGCACAGGCTTTGCACTGAGCCTCATGCCGAGGGCTCTGGGAGGGGTGACCAGTAGCACCCCACTGAGGCCGGGTCCCCACGGGAAGACCCTCGGTGCCCGGTGTGACTGAGCAAGGGCCGCATGTGGCGGGACACAGCGTGCCCACCTGGTCCAGTCGGCAGGGAAGGCACGGCTAGAGGGCCCCAGCCTACTGGGCACCACGTTGGCCTCCAGGTTGAGCGGAGTGCAGGGCCCCCGCAGGCGGCTCTTACCAGACTCCATAGGAAGATTGAACTTCCCGGGGGCGACCCCTTCACAGCCTGGCTCTTCTCCTCCACACAGCGGCTCGTGCTGCAAGGAGCAGACGCCTGTCAGCCCAGCAGCCTCCAACCCCGCCATGCCATTGCTCTGGACCAGGGGCAGCCCCGAGACCACCCGGGAGCCCCCAGCCTCCCGGCCGGGCAGGAGGAGACCGCCCTCTGGGAACAAACTTCTCCTGCAGCGAAAGTGTGCCCACCTCTGAGGCTCAGACTCGGGGTCCTCGGAGGGGCCAGAGACACCTCCCCAGCCCATACACGTTCTAGGGGAGGTGGCCAGGCCGTGGGCGTGCGAGCCCGCAGACAGCATGGGCTCATCCACAGTGCCTGGGCTGGAGCAGCCTCGTGGGGAGGCCCTGACACCCGGCAGGGAGGGGTCCCGGGCGGTGGGGCCAGAGGCCGAGCCCCAGCCCGCACTGGCCCTGAGGCTGAGGGTCACCTCCTCCGCCGTCTTAGAGAATGACGGCCCCCCGCACTCCTGCTCTGCTCTGCGGACCCCTCATCTGGAAAGGGTTGTACCCCCAGTGTCCTTCGGCCCAAAACCCACCCTCATCCCAGCAGGGTGACCGCGTGGCACAGGGGAGAGAGGCGCCACTCACTGGTCAGACACGGAGGTCAGGGCCAGGTGGGGCCCCTCCTGCTGCACCATTACGGCCCCCATCTTCTTCATCCGGGGCGAGCCCTGGGGCTCCAGGTTGGAGCGAAGGCAATCTCGTACCAGATACCTGAAAACTGGGGTGATGGAGAGCTGGAGGGGGGCTGCCCCGGGGAAGCCGCAGCCAGGATCAAGGGCCATCCCCCCGACCACAGAGCAGGGCAGTGGTCTGGGAAATTCCAGGGCCCCGCATGCTGTGGAGCTAGCAGGGGGCTCCAGAGGCAGCAGGTCCTGCAGGGTCTCCCAGGCTTGCCGGGGCGGGCCTGTCCCCAACGGCAGGCGCCCTGACCCGGCCACCTGGGCAAAGTCGAAGTCCTTCAGGCTCAAGTCCTCCACACCGGCCGCCAGTGCCAAGAACAGCCCCAGCAGGGCTGCGATCACCTTGCCCCTCATGTCTGGCAGGCAGGGGCTGGGGCCAGCTCCCCAAAGCCGCAGGACACGGGCCTCAGCACCAGTCCAGGCTTATACCCTTCCCTGTGGGCATCGGAGAAGGCACAGGCTGGCTTCATTACGCAGTCCGGCAGTTCACGCGGCTGCCTGCCCACGAGCCGTCGGGGCCAGACCCGAGGGGGACCCACCCATGGGGCGCGGGTGTTGCCCAGGTTCCCTCCTGTGTTCATTCGCCTAATCCGCTCACCTGCAGGCTGGGCCCCAGGCCGCCCAGGTGCTCAGACCACGTCCCATGGCCAGAGGGGCCTCCAGGGCCCCCAGGCTCCAGGGTGAGGGGATGGGGACATGAAAGGGCACGAGGTGCTCTGGGAAGCACTTTGGGAATGTGTGCTGAGAGAGTTCGGCGGGCAGGGCCCCTCACAGCACCAGGACCCAGCAGCTGCCCAGAAGGCTCCAGCAGGAGCCCTCAGCAGCTCCCAGTACATGGCCCACCTGGGAGCCCCAGGCATGCTCAGGACGTGGGCGCGTGCCCCCCAGGGCCTGCCAGCTGAGTAGGCGTGGGCCCGGTCATTGGGGCAGCACCAAGGACATGGGTGCCCACGCGACGCTGACTCTGTGTAGCGCAGCCCACCCTGGGCTGTGGGCAGCGAGGAGTGGGCCAGGACGTCCTGACGCCTCCAGCCCTGCTGGCCGGCTGAGTCCTTTGAAGGAGCCACACGCTCAGCGACTGGCCAACCAGCAGCATCCTGCCGACCAGACCCCGCCTGCTGGTACTTGCTTTTCACCCACAGCATCGTTCCCCCAGGCGGGGACAGCGTCTCCCCATCTTATGGGTGAAGAGCTTCCTGAGCAGAGGGCGGAAGGCACTTGTCCGAGTCCACGCAGCAGACACGCGGCGGCCCTTGTAATACCAGCTGCCTCCTTTGCCCTTGACCCCACCCCACCTCCAAGTGCCACAGCCGTCCTCACAGGTAGACCGGCCGGGTGAGGGTTTCCCAGCACACAGCAGACAGTAGCCAAGTCAGAGGGGTGAGGGCGAGACAGAGGAACAGAGACAGAGAGAGAGATAGACATAGAGACGCCGAGACAGAGAGACTGAGAGAGAATACAAGGGGGCAGGGTGGGAGAGATGTACACGGAATGCGGAAACGACTCCTGGGGTCCCGGCTCCAAGGAGAGCTGAGCGGTTGTGCCCCTGCAGATGGAGCAGGGCCTCACGGTGCTCAACTCACCCCACCTCCCCATGGCAGAAGGTCCAGGGCAGCTGGTTTCACCTCTGTTGACCCTGCCACCCCCACCTGTCACCCCTCGGCCCCAGGAAAGACTCGGGCAGAGGGTTTGGCAGTAGAGTTTATTCAGAGCAGGTGCAGGCGGGCCCCCCAGGGCTGGGCAGCCAGGGGAGCCCGGGTGGGCGGGGCTCCCAGCATCCCGGATGGGGGCAGGGGCTCCCCTAGATCAGCTCCTGTGACACAGAAGGCCAGGGCCTCAGGGCGCCGCCCGGCCTCCAAGGACCCCGGGGGGCAGCGGTTGGAGCCATGGCCAGGAGTGGGTGTCCTAGCTGTGTGGCCTGGGCCTCAGTTTCTCTACCTGCAAAGCGGGGTAATTGTCCCAACCTCTCGGGGCCGTTGAGACAGAGGGGGTCATGCAGCTGACGTGTTAGCCCAGTGGGGGACCCGGGGAGCCCGAGAAGGGGCCCACAGGGCCTGCGCCTACCCCACCGCCCCTGGCAGGACCATGCTGCATGGAAATGGGGGACGAGGGCCAGCCTCCTCCCCTCCCCACCCAGCCCTGCCCTCCCCTCCAGCCTCCAGGGTCCCCTCCTGGCAGCCTGGTGTCACCACCCTGGAGGCCCAGGGGCTCAGGCCGGGACTCTGGGAAAGGCTCGCCTCCTTCAGGAGCTTGGCACACCCCCCTGTGGGATGGGACAGTGTGAGGGGCTGCGGGACAGGCGCCCGGACCCCACCAGGGGGGGTCCCTAGCCCAGCACCCACCCTAAGGTCTGGGGCTCACCGTGCCGGGCCACCAGGTACAGTCCCGTGTCTGCGGTCAACCCCCGGAACTTCCAGAAGCCTGGTTCATACTCGCCCTCAAGGCTCCGAACTGTGGGAGCACAGGGTCCTGGGCTGGGTGGTCCCCAGGAGGACCACAGCGGCCCCGCCCCACCCCAGGGGCAGCTTACTGAGATACTTGAGCACGTGGAATTCCTTGTCCCGCCAGTGGAGGGACACCCTCAGGATGGCGTACTGTTTGTAGTCTGTGTCTATCACCTGGATCTCCCTGTGGCCTGTGCAAGCAGGTGGGAGAGACAGGCATGGGCGGACCGGGCACCCTTGGGGTGGGTGGACCTCAGAGGCCAGGGTGGGCAGGGCCTGACTCCATCCTCTCCCCACCCAGCCGGGACCCTCTGGGGATGCCAGGGTCGGGTAGGGGAGGACTAGAGCGGCCCTGGCAGGATGACCAGCGTCTTGGTGGGAGAACGGGCGTCTGGGGCGCGCGCAGGACGGGGAACAGCGAGGCCAAGCAGAGCTGGTGCGCAGGGCCAGAGGGCTGTGGCTGCACCAGCAAGGGAACGGCTCTTACCAGGAAAACAACTTTCCCCGAAACATTTATTTCTGAGCTCACTATTTGTTCAGTCTCACGGCTTCCTGAACTGAGAGGCAGGAAACTACTCATTAGGAAAACGCCAGCCTGCATTCCTTCTGCTGGGCCCATCCCAGGGCGGGGGGTGCGTGTCTTCAGGAAGGGCTCTGGCAGTGTGTCCACCCCCGGGCAAGCCTGGGGCAGGGCAAGGATGCGGCCGTGCCAGCCTCACCCAAGGATTCTGTGACCTCCAGAGAGCCACCTACCCCAAGTCCATTTTCCTTTCTTGCAAACTGATGGGGCTTCATTAAGACCCTGTGCTTTTATTTGGGAGAAGATGCAGCTCTAGGAGCCTGGGGGTCTGGTCTCAGGGGAGGGTCAAGATAGACGCAGAGAGGGCTGGTCCACCCAAGTGACAGTAAAGTCCACATCCACAGCTGCAGCCAGTACAGCCAGGCTATGCCCAGGCCCCTCCCCTGTTATACGCAGCCTTCACAGTCAGCTCCTCCCCACTTAAGGTCAGGAACAAGGCCTCCAGCCTCTTTGGGGTCTGCAGTGCCAGGTTTTGGCTGGAGGCCACCCCAACTTCCCGCCAGAACCCTGCAATCTAGAGAAAGGGGCCGGGGCCAAGCCCGTCTCGGGCAGACGGACAGAGACCCCACCCCTGGGCCCCAGGAGGCAGACGCCTCTCCCCGGACCTCCCAGGCAGGGAGCTGGCAGGCTCTGAAGCAGCAGCCGTCGGCCTTCTGAGGGGTCCCTTTGGGGGCGACAGGGCGAGCCCCTCCCCGCACAGGCCTCTCTGCAGTTGCCACAGGGCTGGATCCCAGTCTCCAAGGAGAACCAGCCTTGCTGCTGCCTGTCCTTGGGGACAGGACGCCAGGGGCAGAGGTGGTTAGAGCCTGAGAGAGGGGGGCTGGAGAGGGCCAACCGAATGTGAAAGCTGCTGGGGAGCGGTGGCCAGCAGCCCTCCCCCGCGGAAGAGGCCCGGCTCTGCCCAACCAGGCTGGGGGAGCGAGCGCCTGCCACAGAAACGGCCACCCAGAGCCCAGACCTTCCATCTGAAACTTTTGAAAACTGATAATTTTTGCAAGAGAAACGCATCCGTGTCCGACATCTGTCACTTCTGAGCCTGCTGATGTGCTCCTGGCCCAACAGCCAACACAGGGCTGGCGAAGAAGGAACTCCGGCAAAGAAGCATCGGGCTGGAAACCAGAGCCCGCAGCCGAGGTCTCCACACCAGGAAAGCCTCCTCCTCTGGCTCCTACAGTGTGCGGGGTCAGAGGGTATAGCGGGGACCCCACACCCTGGAGACCACAGGAGGCCCTGAGGGAGGGCGCCGCCCCTGCGCGGCCCTGGCCACTCGCCTCACACGCACTCGCTAGGAGAGGGGAGACCAGGCAGGGCTGAGCTCAGACACTCCGCCACCCGCCCTCATGGGGCTGGCCTGGGTGAAGTCCTGGGGCCCCCCCGACGCAGCTGCCCAGCATCAGCTGGGGCAGAGGCGGGGCCTGGAGTAGCTGCACACGCGGGCCCCTCCCCGCCCCACCTCCTCGCGGGGCCCAGAAAGAAAGCCACCTTCTGCAGGTCCAGGTCCTGCGTGGTCATTTCCACCTGCACCAGGATAATGCCCAGGACGGCGCTCAGCAGCCCGGCCTCCATGGAGGGTCTATGCTCCCCGCACCTGTGCCCACCGCACCTGGGTTTATATCGGGAGGGAGATCTGGCGGGTGGCGCAATAACCCAAGAGTTTCCTCGGCGAACTTGGCCTCCAAATGCTCAGGGGGCGTGCATCCGGGCCCCGTGACACCCACAGCCCTGGGGAGGGGCCGAGGGGGGGTGGCCTGGACTAGAGATGCCGGCGCCACCAGCTGCCTGGCCTGGGGATGATGGTGGATACTGCGGCGGGGCCCGCCTGGGGGCCTGAGAGCAGGACAAGGCCCTCCCCACCTGCACGGGTGTGACCCAGGACGGCATCTCCCACCCCGGGGGCACTAATGGGATGGATACACCAAGCCCAGACCCCCAGGGGCTCAGACCTCCGCACGTACTCCCGGGCCCTCCTCCCAGGACACATGGTGGTTTTCAGGCTCTTTCCGATGGCTCTTGGGACAAGTGGACATAAGCTCCACGGGCCTGGACCGCAGAGGCGGGTGGGGGGTTCCTCCCCCGGGTGGGGGAAACGACGGCGGGCGGTGCGAAGCCTGCGTGGGAAAGGTCGTTCCCTGCAGATGGAGCAGTGCCTGAAAGGCACAGAGGCCCAGTGGGAGGGGAGGGCCCACGGGAGGTGGCAGTGGGGCGCAGTGGGGTCGCACCAGGCCCCGTGAGCCTCTACAGGCGCCAGGGAGCCAGCAGCCGCTCTGCCTCCGGGCCTGTGGAGGGGAATCTGTGCACCTGGAGGAGATCCAGCCACAGGGCTGGGCGGCACAGGGCACCTCGGTTTCCCCACAGGTGCCATGAACCCACAGGGGCTGGGCGGGGGGCACCGGACACTGCCTGTGGTGGCAGCCCCCACAGGTGCCACCCTCGGCTGGCGCCTCCTGCCCTCAGCCCCGAGCCTCCCTGCCTCAGTGGCCCCAGGGCCCGGGTCAAGGCCTGGCCCGCTGTGCCCTCCTTGACGGTCTCTCCAGAGAGGCAAGGGGCCTCAAAACTGCAGAATCTGTTTATTGAGTGCCAGGGGGAGGCCCAAGGAGCTGCCGGAAGAGCACCGCGGATGGGGAGGTGCAGGGGCCAGGAGGGCCTTGGGTCCAGACGGCTCCGCGTGACACGGCCTGCTGTTCCGGCTCACCCTGCATAGACAGGAGAGGTCTGGTCACTCCTGGAACACCCCGAGCTGCCCCCCTCACGCAGCAGGGCCCCCCAATTTCCTCATCACCAGAAAGGCCAGTGCGAGTGGATCCTGCCACCCAAACTCCTGCAAATGTGGAAATACACCCGCAGCGCTGCCCCCACCCCCGGGGGCCAGGCTGGAGGCCGCCCCTGCCCCGGGCTTCTGGGGACCCAGCCACTCTCCCCAGGGCCTCGCTCACTCCCTGGTTAGCAGTGAGGGGCTGGCGTGGCAAGAAAGCCCCAGAATGGCCACTAAACCATGCTGAACCCCACAGACTCAGCACCTGAGAGGGGGTCCACATGGGGCACTTTCCTCTGAAAGCTGCTTTTTTCTAAGATAATCCTGGAGGGTGGGGCACAGAGCAGGAAGACAGGTTCACACTTGCCGCAGCTCGAACCTTCCTGAGGGGGATGTGACGCGATCCCTAATCGCCCTTCTCCCACCCAGTAACGTTGCTGAAACAAGCACTCATGTGACAGGAGACAGGGCTGGGATCCTGGGCAGTGTCATTCAGACCCATGGAAAGATGCAGCAGCCCCGGCGGCCCCAGCACAGCACTGGGTAAACCCAGCCCGGCCAGGAGAGCAGAATGTGGTGAAGGCCGGAGGGACACTGCCCACGGGCCACTCAGGAAGTCCCCACCGAGCGACGTCTAATCCTGCCAGGAGAGGCTGCAGGGGCACCTCCCAATGCTGGTGACTGTCACGTCGTGTCCATTATTTATTGTTTTACATAGGTTCCCAAATTCTTCACGATGAACACGGGTGAGGGGCCCAATGGTTTCCTGGTGTCCACTTTGGGAGAAGGTGTCCCCAAGAGCCCACCTGCATCCGTGTCCCAAGAGCTCCTGTGGACCCAGCCCTGTGATGGCAGCAGCCCAGAAGACTGCCTCGTGGGACCCTTAGGAAGCGAACGAGGACAGGGGATTCCAAGGCAGGACCCAGGGTCCCAGGGGTAAGCCAGGGGCTACGGGGACACAGAACGTACTGGGTTGGACCGTGTCCCCCAAATTCAAGTCCACTTGGAATTCTGAAAGTGATCTTATTTGGAAATAAGGTCTTTGCAGATGTAATTAGTTAAGGATCTCGAGATGAGATAACCCTAGATTTAGGGTGGGCCCTACATCCAATGACTGATGTCCTTATAAGAAGAGGGAAATCTGGCCAGGTAACAACGGACGCAGAGATGGGAGTGATGGGTCTACAGGTCGAGGAACACCAAGGCTCGCCAGCACCACTAGAAGGTGGGAGAGGCCGGGATTCTCCCCTACAGCCTCCAGACAGGACCAGCCCTGCCCACAACTTGATTCTGGAGCTCTGGCCTCTGGACTGTGAGAGAGTAAATTTCTGTTGTTTTAAGCCACCCAGTTTGTGGTAGTTTGTTATGGCAGCCCTAGGTAATCAGGAGAGGCTCCCTGGAAGAGGTGATGTGTAAGCTGAGGCCTGGAGAACACAGGTGAGTGTCCAGGCAGAACAATGGATGTTGGTGGGGATCTGCACCTGCAGCCCTCAGAAGGTGAGCGGGCAGGAGGCATGGCGAGAAGGGGCAGCCCACACGCACAGGCCCTGGAGGACAGGAGGGGGGAGTGACCCTGGCCCCCACCTAGGAAGGGCCACGGTGGGTCTCCCGAGCTGTCAGGGTGCTTCCTTGCCCCCGAGGAGCACGCATCTGTAGAAAGGCAGAGGGTCTGTGAGAGGCTGGGTTGGCTGGGACTGCCCACTTGCTCCTGGGACCTGCCCAGGACAGCCCCCAAAAGAGCGTGGGGCCCTCGGGCCCCGACTGTCCCAAACATCTCCCTCATGTGTGTTAAGGGGAAGGGCGGGGTGTGAAGAAGAGTGGCTGGAAGGGCTGCCAACCCATCCTTAGAAGAGAAGGCCACCTCCTGCCTGTGCCTCCCAGGACTCCGGAAAGGGGGCGGGGCTGGGCTTGGTAGGCGGGGTTTCCCACAGGACGGGGCTCGGCGGGTACCTGACTTGGGCAGCGTGACCACCGTGTCCTCCGGCAGCCCCACCGTCGGGTAGAAGTCCTGGAAGGCCTTCAAGGCCTGGGGGCTCGCTTCCTGGGTCCGGCCTGGGGCAGAGCAGGGGTCCCTGTGAACCCCTGTGGCTCACAGAGGTGAGAGAGAAGAGCAGATGAGGGTCTCCTGGCCTCACTGCACTTTCTTGAAGGCTGACAACAGGGCCGCCAGCCGAGGCTGGGCAGCTTGTGCACTGCATGAAAGGGCCTGCCTGGCCGAGGGACCACTGGGGACCGGCAGCTGCCCAGAGGAGCGCCCTTTCCTAATTCACACAGCGGCACCTGGGAGGTTGGGGTGGCCTGGCTGTCCTCCGGGACCAGGTTCCCCTGGGCCCGCCCCCTTCAGGCATCCATCCATTGGCAGCTCCCAATGCCAGCCTCCAGCCCTCACCCCAGCCTCTCTCCTTGGGGAGCCCCCCCCCCGGTTCGCTCTACCAAGCCCCCCAGAAATGAAAGCAAAATAGTATCTCGGCCCCCGCTCAGGGTGTGAGGCAGCGGGCCAAGCAGGCGAGAGCGGTCCCCAGCCAGAGGGAGGCATGAGCTTTGGCCTGAGTGCCCAGCCCTCGGAGGCCCCTCCAGTCGATCCCTACCCGACCAAAGTGCTGTGGGGTTCGACCACCCCCACCTTGACCTGGGAGTGTGTGATGGGGGGGCAGGAGAAGAGATGGGGACAGTCTGAAAAGGCAGCCAGGTGGGGGGGGGGGGCCGAGGCAGGGGAGGGGCTGAGGGAGGGGAGGGGCAGGAGATGGGGGGGCGTGGGGGAGGGTCCCAGGTAGAAGGATGGTCCCATGTCACCCCATGGAGAAGGAGGTGGAGGACACCTACTCGGGACTCGGATGTGCCCCTGGCAGCCCTCCCTCAGGTACTCGGCACCTATCTGGTTACAGCCTTCAGCCCTGGGGGTGCACAGCCGGGCTCACTCTCCCAGCGCCCCGCCCACCCGACCGCTCCCAGCGCCTCTAACCCTAAGCGCGCTCGCCGCGGAGCTGCACGTGGACGCTGAGGCTGCCCTCCGCCGTGGCCTTGACGTTGCTGGTGGACGTCAGCAGGTGGTCCTTCTTGTCCCTGAAGACCTTGCAGTCAGAGACCATGGGCACCACGTACCAGAGGCCTGAGAACTGCAAGACAGCTCAGTGACCTCAGGCCCGATCCTCCGGGCACCGGGACCCTGGGCCACAAGGACCACAGGTTTCTCCGAAGCCACACAGCCGGGGGTCTCCGGAGTGTCCATCTCTTGGATCTGGGTCCCTGCTCTCCCACTCACCTGGGGCAGGTCTCATGGCCACTGTGAGCCTCAGTTCTCCCAATCACGAAGTGGGTCGGTAATTACCCGCACGCATGGCTGTTTCAGGATTAAGTGGAGAGCGGCTCTAAAGGGTGTGCGGCCCAAGGCACCAAACAAGTGCTCAGTGGAAGGCAGGAGGTACTATTATCACATCGTCGCTATTGTTTCCAGTGAGGGCTCAGCCCAGACCCCCACCCGCGTGGCATAGCTCAGAGGCCTCCGATACCTTTTTGGCATCAAAATCTGGCTGCCCCAGGACCTCAGCCTGCGCCGAGGACTCTCAGAGCAGCGCCAGGACGCAGCTCAGCAGGGTGGCCTCCATCCCCAGGCCAGTCCTCTGGCCCCTGGCGCCCAGTCCACCCGCGCCCTGCCGACCCAGCTTTGCAGCCCGGCCCGGCAGTGGGGCTTGGCCGATGAGCAGCTCCGGAAGCTCCAGGCCCTCTTTGCTCACTGTCTGGCACAATCGCTCGAGTGTCCGCACCTGCTCCGGGAGTCGTTTCCTGGAGGCTCCAGAAAGCCTGGCCCTCACCTGGCTCGTGTCCCAGCCACCTCCGTGACCAGCTCAGCCGGTCGGGTTGCCTCGACCAGAGTCCCCACTCCTCTCACAGGGGTAGAGCCACCATTGGCCAGGCCTCCAGACCTCGTCTTGGGATGACAGAGGTGACGTCAGAAGCCTGGGCACCCCTCACTCCAGACCCCCAGCTGGGCCTCCAGCAGCCCGAGAGGAGGGTGGGTCTGGGCTGCCACTTAGGGTGGGTTAGGGTGTCCGGCCACCTTATCCCTGGTTGCATAAGTGTATGGACCAGAGCGTCTCCCGGTGGCTCCGCGGGCTGGAGGGGGCTTGAGCTGCCGAGGCCTCTGCAGGCGACCTCTCATGTCCACTCAGAGGGCCCCAGAGACACTCTGAGGAACAGCGTGTGACCTGGGACACACCACCCCGAGGCCTCGGGTCAGAGGCAGGGGTGCCCAGGGAAAGCCAGCACTGCGCTCTGGAGTGGAAGTGGGTTCAGAGTCAGAGAAAGACCCCAGTGGCCAGCAGGGAGGGAGGGGCAGAGCCAAGGGCTCCCGCTCGCAGCCTCCACTGGGTTTCAGGCCACGCCTCTCAGTCAGGTCCCAGAGTCATTGGACAGAATGCAGTGAAAGCCTTCCCGTGAAAATATTTACAAAACACACATCTATCTGATAAAAGACTTAAATCCTGAACCTGTAGGGAACTCTCAAGACTCAATTAAAAAATAATTTTTTTTTTTTTTAAAACAGACAACAGGTTTGAAAAGATTCCCAGACACAAAGCAAGCCCACACAGAGAGGCTCACGGGCGTTTGTCATAAGGAGACGCAGCTACACACCAGCAGGATGGCGATTCTGTTTCTAAATCAAGGCTGTCACCACTGGGATGGAGAAAACGAGAGGGTGCAACACCCTGGGAAATGGTTTAGCAGATTCTTATGAAGGTAAACATTCATTACCATACGGTTCGACGCTCGCACACCTAGGTATTTACCCAAGAGAAATGAGACACCCACAAAATCTGCCGGTGGCTGGTCATGTGATTTTGCTGACAATCCCTAGAAAGTGGAAATGACCAAGTGCCATTCGGGGGGCCGGATGAACAACCTGCAGACCCCTCCGGGGACCCCTCTGAGCCTCAGAGGTGCAGGGCAGCCTGCCAAGCTGTGGAGGACCTGCCACCGGTGTGTCTCCATCGCGAGTCTTCGATGCCCGGTCATCTCCTGGCCTCCCCGCTCACCCTCACCCCCCAAGTCCACTCTCCACAAAGTGGTTGGAGCAAAGCTTGTAAAGCATCAATCTGATGCGTCCCTGCTTGAGAGGCTGCTGAGCCATCGTGGCCCTGAGCGCAAAACCTGCACCCAGCCCACCCCTGTGCCCAGCCCAGCTCCCCAGCGGTCAGCCCAGCCAGCCCCCGCCCCGCCCCAGGCCTCTTGCTTGCACCCTCCCCCCCAGCGGCCCCCTTCCAGCCCCCTCACCGGAGCCCCCTGCTCCCTGGGCTACTTCCCACCCTCTGCATCCTCCAAGCAGCCTTCCTCAAACCCCAGCCTTCACCTGCCGGTCGTTTTCTGGCGGCTTTAGCACCATCCGAATTGTCTGCTGTGTTTATTTGTGGTCTGCTCTCCCACACACACTGTAAACCCCGTGACAAGAGGAGCTGTACCGGCCTGCTGGCAGCCTGTTGGTGTCTGTCTCCCCAGCCTGGAGCGCAGGGCCTGGCGGTGGAAGGGGCTAGTTAATGCTTGTGAATGAATAAAGGACAGGGGCCAAGTCGCTTTGACCCGCAGGTCTGCTAAACTGGGATCTTCACAGCACACATTTGCTGCCGGGGCAGAGTTTGTGTGGCCACATCTGGCCTGCACGGTCCGTGGGTGCAGCTGGCACCGCAGGCCCAGATAGCAGCCGGTCAGTGGGAGCCCCGCCCCCCTCCCCGCAGTGCAGGGGCGCCGCTGCCAGGGCCTCCATCGCTTCCTGCCGGCCTCAGCTCCCTGGAGATTAGGAAGAGTGCACAGGAGGCTTGCGGGGGCTCAGGACGTGGACGAGGGCACTGGCAGGAGAGGTGTGGGCAGTGGTCAGGCCAGAGCTGGCAAGGCCCTGGACCCAAGCACAGCAGGTGTGGTCCCAGCAACGGCCACAGGGCGGCAGCAAAGGGACCCTGCTTGCCGGGCTGGCAGAAGGGCTTACATGGGGCTTCGTGCCCGCTGGGGCTGGGGAGGGGTCCCCGAGCAGGAAGGTCACCTTATATTGAAGTGGCGTCCGTTGCAGGGTTTCCAAGCTTCAAACCTGCTACCAATGAATGGATAAACAAACAGGGTCTATCCACACGTCAGAAAGTCGTCCGTATGACAAGGAACAGGACAAACCGTGAAGACAGGGCGCTGGGTGAGAGACCAGGCCCCAAAGACCACGTGGTGTAGGAACCCCCCTGTACGCAACGTGCAGAGAGGCAAGTGCGTGGAGACAGAAAGGAGATTACTGGTTACCAGGTCCTGGGGCAGTGGGGAGCAGCCGTTTAATGGGCACAGGCTCTCCCTGTGGGGTCAGGGAAATGTTCTAGAGTTGATGGTGGTGATGGTTGCACTAAAACTCACTGAATTGTACACTTATATGGGTGAACTATACGCTCACTGAATTAAATCTCAATAAGGCTGCTGGAAATAAAGCCCACTGCCAACTACTATTCCACTTTTCATTAAGGACAGAAGTTGTGATGCTGCCAGTGCCAGAGACTTAATTTCAGGAAAAAAAAAAAAAAGTACACATGAAGCCCTCCACCCCACCCCACCCTGTTCCAGCTCAGATCACAAGGGCCCGCGAAGCGGACAAACCCAGGGGCCAGGGCCTCAGGCACAGATAGCCCGCCAGGGGCAGGGGTGGCTCCCCACGCCCTCCATAGAAGAGGCCCAGGGCACCAGAGGGCAGGGGCTGAAGGACGACTGCCTAGGAGGCAGGAACCAGAGCCCCTCCCAGCACTCTTCGCTGGGGAGGTTGGACTGACAGGGTGGACGTCAGGCCAGGGAGGGCCCCTCAGGGCAGGAGCTGCACTCAGGGCACTGGCAACGGTCAGCCTGGTGCTGGCATAGGGGGTGAGCTGGGATTGACCTGGCTGCCCTGCGCCTCCCCGCTGCCCGGCCGCTCGCCTCCCCCTCCCCTCCCCCCTACAAAGGAAAAATAAACACAGGCAACTAGTTCTACAAGACATGAAAACCTGTTATAAAATCATGAGCAGTAAGAGCATGATTATAAATAGAATAACAGAAGAATCTAGAAACAATGGGAAGAGACACAAATGACAGGGGAATTCAGCATACGATGAAGGACATGTTTCCGTCTGTGGAGAAAACTTGAATACTCAGTCAACAAAACTGTCACCACTAGGGACCATTTACAAAATACATACATAGCTAGATCACCACCCCACTCCTTACGTCAAAATAAATTTCAGATGGATCAGATTTCCACATAAAAATGAAATTTAACAGTGCTGGTAGGAAAAAAAAATTTTAATTTGGTATGGACCAAGTCTACGAAAACCAGAAAAGGTAAACCTGATAAAGATTAATCCGTTTTCTATAGGAATATTTAGAATTTCTTTTTTAATAACAAAAAAGATGAAAAACATAAAAGACCGATTACAACAGTGGAAATAAATGAAGACCACCCAAATGAGAACAAGCAGGCATCCCCTGTGGTTGTTTAGGGGGCATATCTGTCTTTCTGCAGTTGGTCCTGAGTTGAAGATGGGGACAGAAATTATTGTTCGTTATCGTTCAAGTCCTGCCCATTTGGGCCAATTGTCACAGGGCACGTGTCCAGCTGCCCGTTGATTCTCGGAAGCACCTTGGGTGGGGTCGGGCGAGGTGCCTGCCCTCCTGTTGGAGAAGGGTCTTGGGGCACAGATGAGTGAAGCTAGCCAAGGTCAGGGAAGTGGTGTGTTTGCACATGACTTGGGTTCCATTTCTGTGGAGAAAAGCTGAGCTGTGAGGAATGGGAGGCCCAGCCAGGCAGGGGCGGGGTCATCCCTGCACCTCGTTAGTGAGCAGGGTCCCTTGGTGGGGTTGGGAGGTCCAGGTCTGGAGCCAGGGAGCTGCAGCATTCTCGGAGGCATGGGGCGGTTTCCCTCTGGACCCTCAGGCCTCTCCTTTATGTGAAAATTAATAAAGGGAACCCTCAGTAAACTGCAGTCAGGAGGCCAGAAGGGGGAGCTCTCACACCCTACCGCGCAGCCTCAATTGCAGACCCAACGGGAAGGTTACTACTTACTGCCCAGCAGGAGGAAGGAAGATTTTCTCTCACCCAGCAACAGCCCAGCCAATGAGACACCATCACAGTTCGGCCGATGAAAAGTCACCACGCTGCGAACTCTCAGTTTCCTCCAACGGACACTTTGTTTAGAACAGCCCCTCCCAACCCCCCCTTCTCCTCTATAAAAGAGTTTCCTCTCCTTTGTTCTCTGCACTTGCTTGTGGTTTGCCCTAGATTGCTTGTCCTGAATTGTAGTTCTTTACCGTTCCCGAATAAACCCATGTTGCTGTTTTATTAAGGCCAAGGGAGATTATTTTGAAATGTTGAGCCAGTATCACTTTATTGGCTACATTGTTTTCTTTCTAATTTTTTTTGACATGAACCATTTTTAAAGTCTTTATTGAATTTGTTACAATATTACTTCTGTTTTATGTTTTGGTTTTTTGGCCCTGAGGCATGTGGGATCTTAGCTCCCTGACCAGGGATCGAACCTGCACCCCCTGCATTGGAAGGTGAAGTCTTAGCCACTGGACCGCCAGGGAAGTCCCAGGATACATCATTTTTACAAAAGTTTGACAGGCAACAAAATGCAGAATTTAAAATATTCATACAAAACAGAATTAAGAGTAACATGACAACTCTAAATTGTGTGATGGTTCCAAACATGGACCTTATGCCTGAAGGTGGCCGACTGAACAAATCAAAGGACCACAGAGAGGCAGGTGAGACTTGCAGCTATGCCTGATTCTGTGCAGTTGAGTTTCCACTTTTTTTTTTTTTTTTCTGGCCGTGCCACGTGTCTCGTGGGATCTTATTTCCCTGACTAGGGATTGAACCTGGGCTCCTCGGGAGTGAAAACACTGAATCCTAACCACTGGACCACCAGGGAATTCCCGAGTTTCCACTTTTCTGGTCATTTTTCATTGGTACTTACTCTGACCCAAGGGAAAAAGGCTCTCCCCATGGAGGGAAATCTGGAGTCAAATATGCCTCCTGGAAGTTCCCACTTAGGCATCCATGAAGGTTTAGTAAAGTGGATCAATGGAAGGCTTCCGTTTTGTTATGAGGAGAAAATAGAACAGTAAATACAGAAGGAGCACACTCAAACTGAAAGAATTACCTGAGTACGTTGGGAAGAAACAGCACAGAAATAAACGTGAAGCAATAGCTGATAAGCTCTGCAAAACTTCAAAGAGCTGTTAAAAATAGTATCGTTATCTCAAAAGAACTGTTTGGAACCAATTATATTATGAAAAATACAGCCTGTAAGTTTGCAAATTCAGGGAGTGTAGATAAGAACCAGAGTCAGTTAATAGTTCAGATGAAATAAAGACTGTGAATCCTGAACCGTCTAACACTTCCCAAAAGGCAAGTAAAAGATTAATTTGTCACGGGATCATGATAAGGCTGTTTCCAAAAGGCCATAATCAAAAGAAGAGGTCTCCCCCTTTCACAAGGGTTTGGGAAATGTGGACAAGGGTGTTGTCTTCCCATGAAAGAGAGAGAGAAGCAGCAACAGTGAGAAAAGGGCGCACAGGCCTGGTCCAGACATCTTGGGAAAGCTGTCAGGTCAGATGTCACCTGCTTTAATTCCTGGAAATCTTTACTTTCAGGTCACCAGATGGTATGCAGCTCCAGTCAGGGGTTGGTGCTTTTTCAGATGTGACGCGTGACTCCAAGTGTCTGTTTTTTGGAGCTTGGTGGCACATGGATAGGTTAGCGATACCTGGGCGGGGCTTCTTCCTGAAGATGAAGCATTTGGCAGGAACGCTTCTGCAAGGTTCAGCCTGAAATGTATCGGTTGTGCCCTTTCCCTGAGAAGTGCAGAGGCCCAGGCCCCAGCCCGCTGACCTATTTGTAAGTCAAAAGAGCTGTTCGAAGAAAATGGTAAACTTCAACAATTCAGTCCACCTTCAGATTATGGAGCCAAGAAGAAATGAATGGTACAAAAAGGGAATTGGGGAAAGGCAATAGTTTTTTTGTGTGTTTTTTGGTTTTTGGTTTCTTTGGCTGTGTCGAGTCTTAGTTGCGGCACGCGGGATCTTTGTTGAGGCATGCAGGATGTTTTTTGTTGCGGCGCGTGGGCACTTCGTCGGGGCGCGTGGGCTTCTCTCTAGCTGTGGCGTGCAGGTTTTCTCTCTCTAGTTGTGGCCCATGGGCTCTGCAGTTTGCGGCATGTGAGCTCTGTAGTTGTGGCACAGGGGCTTAGTTGTCCTGCGGCATGTGGGATCTTAGTTCCCCGACCAGGGCTCGAACCCACTTCCCCTGCATTGGCAGGTGGATTCCTTGCCACTGCCCACCAGGGAAGTCCCAAGGCAATAGATTTTGAAGCCAAAGAATATTTGATATGTCAGTAGAATTTCCGCACTGTCTCTTCAACACAAGAGAAGATGAAACGGCTTTCTGAGTTCATGTATTCTAAGACTTCCAAAGCTGATCCACAGGAGTCTGTAGGTGGCTTGTCTGAGAAACTAAATACTAAGATTGTCAAAGCGTCAGCCGAGGGTGGGAACTGGCTGCCGGTCAGTCCTGATGACTCTGTACTAAGAGAGCATTGCGCCCTCCGCTTAGGCTTGAAAGCCAGTTTCCTCAAGTGACTTCAGCAGTAAGTTGTTGACCCACTTCATGGTGATACTTCCAAAGACACCCACTAACAAGCAGCGACTTTGGGTCTAACTGGAGTAGAAGTGAACCAGCCACACCTTGTCACAGAGGCAGTGGTGACTTCGGATCACACTGCACCTGGTGAAATCGCCCTGTCCCCTCCAGCCCACCCTGAGGGCGCCCTGGGCACTTCTCTCCAGAGCCCTGGGAAGGAGCAGGCGCTGGGAACGGCTGCACCCTGTGTCTCTTCATCACCCCACGTCTCCCCCCATCCCCCATCCCCCCATCCCCCACTTGCACAGGGAATGTCCCGGCCAGCGCCCACGTTGGTGGTGGGGGACGTGCATTTTACTTTAGGAGCATCTGCACAGTTTTAATTTTTATATGGAATATACACTATTTTCATTAACAAGCAATAATAAATTTTTCTTTAGAGAAAGCATTTTTAACTACAACCTTGGCCTCCCCACTGGGTTCCAAATTCACACATCCCACTCTCCTGTCTCCAGACATCTCAGACCCGACAGAGCCCAAACCACCTCCCAGTGTGCCCCACACCATCAGCTCCCCTCAGCCCCGCACTGCTGTGCCCACCTGTGCTCAGGGCAAGCACTGGAGGCCAGCCTGGGTCCCCTTCCTTCCTCACTGGCACCTCCAACCCAATGCCAAGGCCTGTTACTGCAGCCTCCAAACACACCCCAAGAGCACCCTGACAGCACTCTTGCACCCCAGTAGCCCCCGATATCCTGACAGCATGCTGCACCATGACAGCACCCCTGCCTGCTCCACTGCTGAAACACTCTCTAAACCTTAGCAGCTGCCCTCCTGGAAGGCTGGCCCCGCACCGTGCAGGGACAGCAAGATGTCCACTGAGCTGACATCCCTGGCTGTGCCTGGCTGTGTGCAATCAGAGGAACTGAAGTTCCCACCAGGCTTCAAGGTACAGCCCAACCCCTTGCCTCTCGCCCTCACATCCAGCCACATGGGCCTCCTGAAGCTTATGCAAATAGGCCACGCTTAGTCCCACACAGCAGCTCAAGGTTGAAGCTTGAGGGTCTGCCTGACCCTCCCACGCAGGTCTCTCCTTGAGGGCGGGCGCACGCGCGCGCGCGCGCACACACACACACACACACACACACACACACGTAAACACAGGCCCTGGCCTCTCTCCATACGCTTTACCCATTTTGTTTTCCTGACCTCCTCCCAGGTCTGTTTACCTGTCTGCTCTATGAGGGCTAGGAGCTCTGACTCCTCCGTGGGACCCCCAACTCCTAGCACAGAACTGGCACCAAGTACGCGCTTACGGTATTTTTGGAATTAACTCGTTATATCATCTTTGGATACACTATTCCGTGGTCGTTTTCAGTAGATGTAATGCCGTAAGCAAAGCCCCACCCCCACAAATAATACTAACTAATCATTATGTCCCTGAGAGCCTGGAAATGAGGCGGACGACCCAGGCCGGGCCCGCGGGGAGGAGCGCTAGCCGGCAGCCGCGTTCGCGCCGCCGCCTGGCCACCCAACGTCACAGAGCTGGGCCTGGGGAGCGCGCGGCTCGCTCCGCGCCCGGCCCTCCGCCCGGCCCTCCGCCCGCCCCCCCGCCCCCCCCCCCCCCCCCCCGCCCCGCCCCCCCCCGCCCCATCCGGCCCCACCCCACCCCGCCCCATCCGGCCCCACCCCACCCCGCCCCATCCGGCCCCACCCC